CAGCCATGTCCACTTCTGCGCAGCAGACTTCCCAAGCCGGTAGTTCAGGTGCCGTCGGGTCAACGGTCGCGCAGACCGTGAGTCAGTCCACTGGCGTAATGGCAAGCCAGGCCGCGGTGTTAACTCCAGAGGATGTCGCCATCCAGCAGGCAGCCATCCAGCAGGCAGCCCTGCAGGAGGCACAGTTACAGCGGGCATTAGGAGAGAGAAAAGCGGAAAAGGAAAAGATGATCAGAAGAAGAGTCAGGATGCAGCGAAGAGGGGCAGACATAGAGGAGTTAGAGACGATGGACCTGACCAATATGGATGATGACGTGAGGGTAGTTAGGAGGGCCCTGCTAGGCGTCATAGAGATGCAGGAGCATCAAACTACCATCCTTCAGGACATTCAATAGAGCCTAGCCGTTTTGGCAGGCCGTGCTCAGGCAACACCATCACCAGCCCGGCCTGGTGCCTGGCCCGTGCCATATCCTCCTTTTTCTGTTCCACCGGTGACAGGGGTATCCCCATATGTAGCCCCTTCATCGGTTGCTATCGTTTCCCTGGGCATGCCGTTGTCAGGAGGGGTAACAGCAGGGAGTAGTTTGCAGGTTCCTGTACAGATAGTGTTCACTCCAAGTCCGTCGCAGGTTGCTGTCACCACGTAGCCTGTGCAGCCTCAGGGCACGCAGCCCCAGCAGCTAGCACAACAACCTGTGTCACCGGGTCCACAGCCCGGAGTGATGCAGGGACCGGGACAAACGCAGTGGGTTCCAAAGACGGTCATCGCCGCTCCCAAACCTTTTACAGGGGATAAGAGGGGCGAAGACCTGGACACGTGGTTGAGGGCAGTGCCGGTCTACGTCAGGTGTAAACTCACCTTGTCGCACGAAGAAGTGCTTGTGGCTGCTTCCTACCTAGAGGGTAGTGCAGCAAGATGGTTGAGCGGTCTAGTGCAACTTCAGGGATATGGTCATGACTTCCGCGCTTGGGCGGCCTCCTAGAAATTGGAAGACTTCCTAAAGATGGTGGAAGAGAGGTGGCATGATCCTCAGGAGGCCCAAAGGGCCACTGACGCGATCCTGACACTGCACGCGCGGCAATTTAAGTCAGTAAGGGAAGCCACCGACGCTGTTGAGTGTCTGATCTGTGTCCCTGGGGTGCGTTATGACCCCCAGGTCCTGTTGACTTCGTACCTGAGATGCTTTTCTCAGCCTCTCAGGAACCAATTGGCAAAAGAGGCCAACATCAATATGCACAACTTCCCTTCGTTTAGCA